AATGTTCAATAGGGTTGGGGTCGATGCTATGCGAAGGCCATTCCAGAAGCTTAATGTTGGCCTGCTTTATCCTTTCCAAAAACCAGTTTTGATGTGTGTTTGGAATCTTTGTCCTACCCAGTTGTGTCCATGTTTCAACCATCTAGCTGCTAATTTAAGGTGAAGCTTAAGAATTTCACCTTAAATTATTTATTATTTCACTATATCAAATGTGCAGTAACAGCAGCAAAAACAGTGCATGATGCTACCAACACCATGCACGACTGCTTGTACAGTATTCTTAGATTACTGTACAAGCTAAATGTACAAGCATAGCTCTTGTCATTGAAGCCAAACAGCTCAATATTAGTTTCCTCTGATCATAAAAATATTGATTTTGATTTTTCCATGATGATATGAACTGTGATAGTGTAAAATTTGTTTCACTTGTGGACAGTGCAACTGGTGTCCCAGCAGCTCACAGTTCATGGCAGGCTTGGTGGTTCCTGGGTTTTCTCCTCTCATCTGAGGCTGACAGTTTGGGTCTTCTTCCAGACCTCTACAATTCTCCTTAGATCTACACTCTGTTTCTTGGTCTTTTGCACTGTTCTGAGTATTGGTCAGTCCAATGAGCGCTGTCAAAAAGAGACTACTGGTTGTAATCAACCATGATCACAAACAAGAAATTAATAAGCCTTGTCAAGTTAGACGACCTTCAGCACCACTAATTAAAAGATTTAAGTATATGTAAATATACATTCATGCCAATGATGAGTGGTTGGAAGCTTCTGAGAATTGTTTAACTGTTATTAAGTCATTTTTAAACATCTCAAAGTGTTGGCAGCTTCTAAAATAGTCAAGTTAATAGAACATCCTATTGCTCTGAGGTCAGTGAAAAGTCCATTTAGATTGTTATTTATAATGGCACTTTTATAGTCTTGCTGATCCCTTAAGACACTTTTACACTACAAGCTACACTAAGCCCTTCCCACAGATGTTCACACGGTTCTTTATCACACACATGCACACAATAACACCAGTGGATGCGTTGTGGAGCAATTTGGGGTTAAGTATCCTGCCATAGGACACTTTGATATATAGATCAGAGGAACCAGGTATCGCACCAGCAACCTAGTTACTTAATTACTCCAATTTACATCTTAGCTGTAATATGACATTAGGAGTAATATATTTATCCTTAATTTCACTTGATGACTGATCACATGAATACTTAAATTAATACATATATGTCTTAAAATAAATAATCTTTTTTCCCACCTACCATCTATTATAGGGTTAAACTATTCTGTTATATTTACAGAGACGAGTGAATTGACGTGTTTTTCTCCAAAAGAATTCTTCTCATCTCTTTTCATCTTAAGCATCTTAAGCTGAGGCATGAATCAACTTTAACACCCACATGATTGGACTGAAGTGTCAATCATCACTGCATAAAAACATTTAACAAAAAGAAAACATAAGAAAGAAAACAAAGAACACAGTACAGGAACCATAAAATTCTTATTGTAGTTAACGTTGAGAGGTAAAAGGGTTCACATCCGTGATGTTGCCACGCAGGGTATTTCAGAGGTTTTCTATAGAGCCCTGATGATGCCAGAGGAGGCAGATTAAGACCTATGTTTGCTGACGAAGGGCACGGGAGAATCCCTCAGTGTCATGTAAGGGCTCAGTGCACTTCAAGCAAACTGTCTGATAAAATGTGACATCCGATCACGTCTAAAAGCAAAAGTGTGTTGGAGAAGAGTCAAGTGAAGGGAGGTTTATTTAGAAAGCACATTTACAGCAGTAGACAAATAAATAACGCAAGACCAAAAAAACAAACACTTGCCATCCAGCACCCCACTGGTTCAAATCTGTGGAAGGACTCTGTGTCTGTTTGCTGTCTTTATCTGTACAACATGAATCATTCAAACGGGTAAACAGTGTTCCCTCAAAGGCATTCATGGTATTCCACTCAGTGTTGTTAAAGTGAACAAAAAAGAAGCTTGTGAACATGAACCCTGCCTTCTTTCTCACCTCTGCACACCTGTACATTAGCTCTTTTGCAGAAGACATTTTGATGTGTTGCACTGGCACAAGTAAAGGTGTAAACAATAAAAATAATGAATGGTAAATTCCATGTAGCCGCCTGTTTCAGGGCCCTGGTATTTCTCATGCAGCTATAATTACATATAGGATTATTTTTCTTATGCTTTGCTTTTCTTGCTGTGACATGTCAAAATGTCTTCTGTGAACACAGCGCGCTACAAACCAAAACTCTGGCCTTTATCATGGTGACCTGCCGCAAGCGGTTATTTAAAGGTGACCAATTAAACTGCGTTCTAAGCTGATCTCGTTTGCAAACAATCTTGAGTGCAAACATCCAGCTGCACTGCACAGCAAAGGCAGACACTCAAAGTTTAAAGTGTAAAATTAGTGTAAAATTTGTTTCACTTGTGGACAGTGCAACTGCTGTTTCAGCAGCTTACAGTTCATGGCAGGTTTGGTGGTTCCTGGGTTTTCTCCTCTCATCTGAGGCTGACAGTTTGGGTCTTCTTCCAGACCTTGGCAAAGTGGTGACAGATCTGAAACTTGTATTTACATACAACTGCTTGAAGTTTTTAAATGTCTCCAAGAAACCTTCCAAATTTGTGTAAATCTACAATTCTCCTTCTTAGATCTTCACTCAGTTTCTTGGACGTTACCACTGTTCTGAGTACTGGTCAGTCCAATGAGCGCTGTCAAAGAGAGACTACTGGTTGTAATCATGATCGCAAACAAGAAATAATAGGCCTTGGCCTTGTCAAATTACCGATAACGGTGGCAGATTAGTGTTCTAAGTGGACCTCGTCTGCAAACAATCTTGAGTGCAAACATCCAGCTGCACAGCACAAGGCAGACACTCCAAAAATAAAATTCTGTGGCACAAACTTCGACGATTGTCTCTAAAGGTGCCATTTGTTGATCGGTCCTTCAACAGACCACCATAACATTACCGGTTGCGGTTGCTAGGAGTTTTTTGGTGCAGAGCCTTTACTGATCTCCTTATAGAGATTCCCATTTGGTTTGTCTGACTGCATACTGAGCAAAGAACAGAGCCTACCGAGAGTCTCTGAGGACTCTTTAACTAAAGCAGGAGGCTCTCTGACATCAGGGCTTGTTCTCAGTGGGTCAAACTGCTGCCCTCTCACAGCTGTGTGAAGCGGAGGGAAGTAGCTGCTGCCTATTTTCAGACATATCTGTCCTTCGTAATGAGTTTCCAAGATGCCTTGTCTGTGCTTTAGTAAAGGATACACAGATTACAAACATCCACGTACAAATCTTTTGCACATTTGCAGACAAATTGCACCAGCACACTCTATTCCCACGGGACAGGTACGATCTCCTAAAAGACACATCAGATGTTTTGTCTTGATCTCTTTCCTCATACGATACAGTCTGCCTCTCTCAAATCTTTTCAAGGTGGCTCCCACTCAAGAATAAAATAAAATGGTGCTGATATTTAGGTTTGACATATCACTATTCATTCGATTTTACTTTACATTTGACTAATTGATGCCATTTTGTTGTGCAACACCTTCATGTGTTACCCAATTTCTCACGTGCAAATTATCTCTATTAAATAGCAGTTACTGTGAAAATACTAACCCTCACAGTAATCTTTATTTCAGCCTCTTTAAACCTCTTGTTAACTGTCCTTCTGTTTCAGTCTCTCATCCACTCAGTCTCCCATTAAATGCTCTTATAACCCCTCATTTTTCTCTCTCTTCACCTTCCTCTACTCCGATCTCCTCTGCCCTTCTTTCAGATCGTGATACAGTTTTCAGCTGGGACCAGCATGTCCCCATGAGGAGTGTGATCACTGTGTTTGTGTATCTGAGATGAGAGAGAGTCGTGTGCACATGTGTATGGGAGAGAGAGAGAGAGAGACACTTTGTTCTCATTGTCTTGGGTCCAAGAGTCCTCTTAGGGACAGGAATGAAAGAACTGAGAAGTAGGCACTTATGTGCAACAGTTTCCTGTATGAAGGAATGCGTGTGCGTGTGTGTGTGTGCACGTGTGTCTGTGTGTAGTAAAATGGTCTTCACCTTTCTCAGTGTGGCTACCCACAGCCTAATCTTGATCTACATCTTGATATTTTAGCTGAAAGCAACTGTAAAAAAAAAATGAACAGGCTGCACATTTGAGGAAGCAAAAAAGGCCAGAGGAAGGGAAAAGATATGAGTTTGATGTTGCATGATTGTCCCATGGCACATCTAGTTGCATAATACCTATTTCCTTAATCTCAATTATTCTTTTCTGCAAAAGGCAATCAGTCTGTAACCTGTTTCCAAATTATGTAATAAAACAGCACCAAATGCCAGTGTTGTTCAAGACCAAGGTGACTGCAATCTAATTTGATATAAACAGGGTGAATTAATATCGGCTGCTGGAATAATATTTACTTTCCCGGGTATGACAATCAGCACCTCTCTTCTTTAATGTAAAATAAATTACATCCTACAGCAGAGGTCAAAGTGGAAGCAGTGTTTTTCCCGGTTCTTTTCTTTTTTCCTGCACATTCTATTAATGTAACAAGTGAGTGACAAGTGACTGTAATTAACTGGAAAGTAGAAAATAAAAAATGTGTCTAATGGACATGATCGAGAAACCTGAGTCTAAAAAGGCAACCATGTGGAGCCAGAGGTTCTTCCGACATTACCGGTGTCATTCAGTGAAGGAGCACTGCTCTCCTCACGTCTTTGAGTGAGTCTATGGGCATCCCAAAAATATTACGCAACATTTGAGAAACTGACACACAAACTGATGTGGGATATGTTACACTTAGCTCTTACCGTCGGGGTACGCTTTTCACTCATTCACTAAATAAAATCTGTACTTGCACAAACACTCACAGGGGCTTCCAAAAAACAACCTGTAATCTAGTCAATCAATAAAAGGTTCCCCGACCTCTACCTCTCTTTCAGGTGTTCCTCTAATTCTTTTATCCTCTCACATGCCTCCTCTCCAGTATGCCTTACCTTCCAGAGTCACCTCTTTCCCGGCTCGTTTCAACGCCTGCACAGCCTCGTCGTGGGTCGCGTCCCGCAGGTTCATACCGTTCACGGACAGGATCGCGTCCCCCACATACAGAGACTGGGTCTGGTCCGCAGCGAGCCCCTTGAATATTTTACTTATGAGGATGGGCATCTTATTCTCCTTCCCTCCTTTGATGCTAATCCCGAGTCCCCCGACTTCCTGCTTGGTCACCTTGACGCACCGCTTTTTGTTGGCGATCGCTTCGGGTACCCGCTCCGGGAGGTCCGTGAACGCGGTGCGCACAGTTTGGGGGCCATTGTTGGAGTTGGTATTACTGTTGTCATGGTAAGATCCGTTGGTAACGCCGTTAGAGTTGACATTGTCATCGACACTCTCGTTAACGTTGCTCTCACAGCTTAACGTGAGCGCTTCCTCGTTCAAGTTGACCAAAACTTTGTGCCACTGCTCTCGCACCAAAACCTCCACAAATCCACTTTTTTGCACTCCAGAGCCAATCGGAACTCCAGTCGCTACTACCACCGCCATCTTTGGAGCATTTCTGTAAAAAAAATCACATGTGATTTAGTTCCCAGCGCGCTCGCAAGTTCCACCCTATCTCCCTCTCGCCCGGGCTGGACTTTGCCCCCTCTGAAGTTTTCTGCAGGACTTATATCGAGCTCCCGTCCGACCAGCCCGAGCTCTTTCAGCGCAAACTCCCCCTCCGCTCTGCCTGCCCAAGATCCTATCTGCTGGGTGGAGTTTTCCTCCCCCCGCCGTCAGCCGATCCCATCTCCAGATCCCGCTTGTACAAAATGTGTATATCATTTGCCAACTTCTTGTAAAACACGCTAACCAGTGCAGAGGTAAACAAACACCGGGAAGATTAGGCAAAAATCCACTTCTCATCTATTCCAGCTAATTCAGAACCGACAAGACTACCATGATGTGTGCCTACACTACTGTCATGTTAGAGTGGGCTTTACGAATCTTTTACACTGGCAGGAAAAGAAAATGTAATTTGTGGAGTAGAATATTTTTGTTTTGTGCGCTCTTGGGTAAGATGGAACTGAAGTCACGGAAAATTTGCATTGTTTTTCCACGGCGGTAGATTTTTAAAGACATATTTAAATAATATTAATAAGAAGAAGAATCATATATATGACTAGAACTAATTTCCAGTCTTCCAAGTGTCTAGTGGGTTCCAGTCTTCTACGATAGCCCGTTTTCCGTGGGTGAAGTGAGAAGGTTTTACGCGCGTACAGGAATGCGCCTGTGCGGGTTTTGTTGTTTCGAAGAACGAAAGAAGAGAGGGAGCACGTTTTTCTCTGAAACTCTGTCAAGGAAGGCCTCCCTCTAAGGCTTTGCTTTGTCTACTATTATTCCAAAGGACGTCCTTACGCCCCGTCAATCACACACGATCCAGAAAGCTGAAAAAAAAGTCAGTCAGCTCAGACCTTGAGAGCGCAGCTGGAGATGTCAGCATAGTGACCGGAGCTTCTCGGAGCATCGCTGGTCAGGCGGACCTTTCTTCACAGGCTTAACCCCTGTGTTCAAGTCTAGTGAGTGACTGACATTGAGGCTGAGACAAAATCAGTTTCATCTCATCACCAGCTCCTGACTGCGTGTCAGTAAAAGCTGGAATACTGAGAACAAGAAAATGTTTAATGTAAACGTCTTTAGCTCCGCAGCTGTCTGGCTGTGGATATTACTCACAGCTGCTCAAGTGCTGAAACGTGCTGAAGTAGACCACAGTGTCACACTAAACTATTTGAAATGTTGCTACGACACCTACCGGTGACGCTTTTAAATACTAAATACTAGAGCCTCTTTGGCGATTTAGTGAATGTATGACTTGGCCGCAGACTGCTAATGTAGAGTATTTTACCTCGGTTTTGTGCCATATGTGCACAACTAGATTGTGTTTGGGATGAAGTTAAAACGTGTCATTAAAAGTTGTTCAGTTATGGAAATATGTAGAAATGCTGTGCAGTGTGGGAGACAAGCTTCCCTACGAGCCTGCCCTAAAAACTATGTCAGATCATTACTACTGAGCTGCACTAAAGACATGATTAACTTGTTTATTGTGAGCAAGAGACTGCAACAGAAATACAAAGAATATTTTTAGTTTAATGAGGTGTAGGCACTACAAGCGATTTTTACTTTTATATGGAAATGAGCTGTCACGTGAAATGTACAATCTTTGTTGTGATAATGACCTTCAAAACAAACAAAGAAACAGAGAGGGAGAGAGTGCTATCTTTTTAAAGGTGATGGTACTTAAAGGTGTTAATAAATCTTTTTTATATCCCTCCTCACCCGGCGACTTGATTGCACCTTTTTTTTCCCAGTGCATCAGAGAGCAGCTGCACAGAGGTGTGGTTACACACAAATGCACATGTTCTGTGTTGTGGGTCTGTGAACTGGCTTTCTGCCGATAATTAAGAGGGGGAAGCAGTCAGATGAAGACTTACTGGACGCACGTGTGTCCCGATCTTGTTTTGAGCTTTGTTTTTTTATTATTATTACTATTATTTGACTTTTTATTGAATCATTTATTCCTTCAGGGCCACCAATGGCCCCAAGGGGGGAAAAAAACACACTCATTCGTAAAGCTCACTTTGGTATATCTTTTTCCCCATCTCTCTTCAGCTTTTCTTCATCATCCATCTCTAGTTTTACTAGGCTAATCCTCCCTACTAGGCCTATTTGACCCTAAAAGCATGGATGCTGTGTTTAAAAAAACTTGTCAGCTGCAACATGTTTCAGCTGACAAGTTGAAAAATAGGAAGCTAAAGACCAGGAAAGATGCATAATGCTATAATTAAATAAAGCATTTTTCAACAAAAAAAGTGAAAAGAATTTGGAGATTAAAAATTATCTAAATTCTACTGAATGGCTGTTGTGTCTGGCCTATTAATACATGTAATTCTGTAGAGGAAACCATTTCAAGGGCACAGAGACACTTCTGAAAGCCACAAGGGAGATAACTGGGGGTTGGTTTTTTTTGGTAAAACATCCCCAGTTATCGACTGGGAATGAAGAAATTATTTATATATTCGAGAATGCATATAGAGATGCACCCTATCAAAAACTTATTTCCAAATTATATTGTTCACTGACCAATCTAAGGGGTCATGATGCGAGATATGTTAAAGCAAGATGGGAAACAGAGGGTAATCTATCCCTAACAGGAGAGGAATGGGATAGGATCTGTAGGCAGCAGTGGTCGGTAACAAGCTCCCCCTCGTGGAGGGAATTCAGTTGGAAGAATGTAATTCATTATTTTAATACCTCGGCTCAAAAATCCAATTATTCTCATAACACAACATGCTGGAGGCAGTGTGGACATGCAGCAGCAAATCATTTCCACATTTTATGGGAATGTCCTCGTGTGGTTCCATTTTTGAAGGAAATACATAAGGTCCTGGAAACAATCTTTCAAAAGAAAATACAATTTCATTTTGCAGTATTGTACCCGGGTAACTTAGAGAGTCTTAATCTGTGCAAACCGGATAAATATTTGTTCAGTGTGCTGTTGGTAGCTTCCAAAAAGGCCATAACCCGGCGTTGGCTTAAGGAGGATACTCCTACTATAAATGAGTGGATTGATGTGATATATACTATTTTTGTTATGGAAAGAATAACTTTTAGGCTAAAGTTGCAGGCGGACACATTTGAGGATTACTGGTTGAAATGGTTGAAATATGTACAAAATGGGAGGCCCCACTGTGATTAAGTTGTATTGTTGTACATGTTGTATAAATAAGAAAACCAATAAAACATAAATAAAATTTTAAAAAAAGGGAGATAACTGTTTGGTGATATGATGAATAAAATGTGAAAATATCTTTTACGAAATCACAAGAGACGACCATCCAGCTTGCTATCAGTCCATAAGTTTAAAAGGCAGCCCACAGTCTAAAAAGCAGCATCTATGATGAAGTGGAGGCATTAATGCACATGGCATGAATAACTTGCTCTGTAACTGCACCATTAATGCCAAATGATATATACAAGTTTTGGAGGGACAAATGCTTTTTTCCAGGGGAAGACCTTGCTTAATTCAGTAAGACAATGCCAAACCGCATTTTGCATGTATAATCAGATCCCTGCAGTCTGGGTGCCAAGCAGGAAAAACTAATATATTTGGTGCATTATGAAATGAAACATACAACAAATGAGGCACTTAACTGTTGAGAAAAAACTTTCACTGTCAATTTTCAAAAAGCTTATAGAGCTGATGCGACTCAGTGAGAGACATGGCCTTACCTCAGCTTTATAGAAACATGTATAGTCATCATATTGCTTCACCAATACACTTTTTATCTATTAGTTTTAGCTGGAATGAGAATCGAGTACACTGAGAAAACCTTTTTAAGTTTGCTGCTTTAAGACTGACATGTCAGTTTTCCTATATAAAGCTTATACAGGGAAAAACATGGTGGGAATGACCATTGCCTTTGTCCATGCTTGGTGGCACATACATCTTTGTGCTTGTCGTAAACAAAATGAGGACACACTCCTCATAGACAAAGAAAAAAAGATCAGGATTTTGTAAAATACACTTCTCAAATCAATTAAATGAACACTTGAGATCTGAATGGGAAAGAAAATCATGCTGGATAAATGTACTGATATGGACTGAGTAATGTGTTAGGGATGAAATGATGCCACATTGTTTGACGGAAATGAAAATTATCAACCAAATCAAAGGGGGAAAATGATGCAGCAGGCTAGTCCATTACCAGTAGTCCAGTAACTCAAAATGTTAGTTTGTATGGCCCCCACATGCATGTGTGTATACCTGATGGTGCTCCTAATGATACACAGTTGGTGTCTTGGGGGATCTTCTCGCAGATCTTGGGCAGGGGCGGATCTAGAATGGTGGCAAAATGATTTCTTGCCATCCCTATTTCCACCCAAGTGTTACATATGACAGAGTTGTTTATCAAAATAAGATAGCATTAACACTTTGAGCCTAGCTATTATTAACACTGAATATAAATTATAAAACTGAATATATTACATAGTGTTAACCCCTCTCCACAATTAACAAATGGTTCAGCCCATAGTGCCGACCGGATTTATTTCTTGTTTTCTGACTATGATTGTGCCAGATCACATTTTGAATCAACACCATGGGCATTTCAGATTTCAGGTGGTTGGTTGTCACATGGAATGAAGGTGAGTTTTATAAACCCTCTGAGGTCCACGGACACACCTGACTGATTTTAGCTGATATAGCAACAAGCTGCAGCCACGCTGAGTCTCCATTTGAGCTTGTGTTGAAAGTTCGGACTTCAAAGTATACACCAATTTTTTTTAATATTTTAATAACAGGCCACTAAATCTAGAGTTATGATTAAAAAATACACATGTTTAGTGCGGAAGGATTTTTTTAAAGCATTTTCTAAGGACAGCACGAAAACAGTAAAAAAAACCCCATTTTAACCAATTAAAAAATGACAATATGTGGTATTTGGTTGTTTAAGAAGAGAGTAACGAGAGAGCGATGTCAACAGCGAGTTTTGAGATGTGGGAGATTTGTGACGTTAAGCGTGGAGTGTATGGTTAGTGTGCTTTGTATTCGTTGTTTTGTTTTGTGTGTCAGTGAGGGCACTAATGAATGTTACAAATGCAGATTGTCATGTCAACACTGTCTCCAGGTGGAGTGATACACCTGTTGTCAGGCCCGCAGGGTTTATCCCTGTGGTGTCTCCTCTGTCTTGAGGCGGACACACTATTTATTTATTTATTTTATTTTTACTGTCACAAATAATTTGTGGGTCATCTTATTGTGACACCTGATTGTTCTCTCATTTTAGTTATAGCAGTATTTTTTTTTATATGGTTGTATAAATAAAACAAACAACAAACCGCCAGATGCATTGCTGCATTTTTAGATAAATAGTTGCATATAACTTGATTGTTTACAAAATTTGTGCATAAGTTTTCAAAATTTACAATTTATATTTGCATTTCAAGTTATGAAAATAATTTATTAAACATGTCTGTGGTTTTTACAGTAAAAAATATAACTACTACTAGGATTTTATGTTTTTTGTGTGATTCCATATCAGTTATGTTAATATAGATCAATGAAAAATAACATCCAGATTTCTGACATTTTGTGTAATTTAAGCATGTAACAATGTGA